TTAACTCAAATCATTTATGCATCATGAAATTTTTAGTTTATAAACTAACCCGACAAGTAAAAGCTGAAATCTTTGCTGAAATAAAATATTACAAAGATCGTATCAGAACGTGAAAATGGAATCTCGTGAGATCTCTTGAACATTAGAAACAATTTTGAAGAAAAAGGTAAAGATAATTTATCAAAGAAAAAGAGAGTTTAATATAAAAATCAAAGATATGAATATGATTTTCTGACACAGAGTAAGTTAGCGAGGTAGTTAAAATCTGGTAATGGTATGGTCATATTATTCGGTAGCTGATGCTGCTTAATTAATTTTTTTTAATGCTCCTACCATCACGCTATGGTTTTTTTTTTTTTTTGGTAGTTGATGCTGCTTAATTAATTTATTTTAGTGCTAGGTTTACTTTAATGTTCCTACCACCACGCTATGGTTGTGAATATTTTTGTACAGACAGACAAACATGCGTAAAGGGTGGTTGTCTGATTTCTAACGAAAAGAAAACAGACGATTATAATATCCCGAAAATTATGTCAAAAAAAAAAATTCCGAAAATAATTAAGTTCTTTTATATGCACATCTAATTAGTATATGACCTGCTTTAGTATAAAAAATACCAACTAAAGATGAACCGGATCTTTTGATAAAAAAATATCACCAAAATATCTTCAAATACAACTATTTATTTCTCCATATATAAAATTGCTAATAAAAAGTATTTATCAATGTTTGTTCTAATTTGTTATAAAACAACACAAATCTATTCAAAATGACAGAATCTAAAATGAAAAAAAAAATGTTGTACCTATGTTTGGAACATTATAATCTTCCTTCCCATATAAGAACTACTAATATAAAGATAACAGTAAGCCAAAACATTCTCTGGTTCTAATACCCATCCACCAAAAATAAAATGTAATTTTGAATACCGTCAAGCACATTAAAATTATTCTTTCAGCTTCTTATTAAATACTTGTTAATATATGTTCAGAGAATTGATAAAGTAAAAAAATATTGAACTATAAATTCTGTAAATTTTTAAATTTCGTTTACGTGTTATCACAATATTCATTTTCATTAAAAAAAGATGAAATGAATAGTGTAAATGATGACATTACTTAATTTTTATTATGACATGTCAAATTGCATTTATAAATTATACATTTTTGGTAAGATATTTAAAATATGACAGTAACTTATATGCAGTACCATTAACGACAATTTTAAACTGATAACATAATTATAAATATAAAAAATAATTACATTAGTTTAGAAGTGAAAAATATGTAAATATTTATATTTTCAAAATTAATTATGAATATATTTGTTAATTAAGTTTTTGAATTATGCTTCAATTCATTAATTGGTATAAAAACTAATCAAATTACAAAATATAAACATAATTCATATTATACTTGTTGAAAGAATTTTAATTAATATAATTATTTTATATCCTTGAATGTAAATATAATTCATATTTTATTAAGCTAACTGATAAATTAGTTTATTATTTTGATATGTTTTACCTAAATAATAAACTAAAATTTCTACAGTCAAATATATATACATATTAAAATAACATAATCATAAATACCATTTAAAATAATTATTTTTTTATAATTTATGTTTGACAAAATCTGAAACAAAATAGAAAAGTGATAATGGAAAAAAGTATTTTTTTAAAAAGTATATTTATAAAGAAACTAAAGGAGTTTTAAAAGTTACATTTTTACTTTAAAAATAATATATTTTAAATTTTATTATCGCTGCCTATGGAGCAATTCCTCCTAATATGCAGTTACTCAAGCCTCACTTAATGTTGCTTTTAGCTAAACATACCAAATAGAGACTTGTTCTCGCCTGTTTTTATTTTCCCATACTGCAAAATAAATCCCAATTTGACTAAAGTAAACAAGATTTTAAATAATTCCAAAGTAGTGATAGATTAGTAATTTGACATCAAACATGATGCATGTTCAGATTTTAGAAACGTGGGAGATGAGCATCCAATGATTAGTTGGAGTTCCCCTAATCATTTGTAGATGAAATCAATCAACATTAGCAAACATTTTTCTACTAATCTATCTTAGGAAACTTTCAACTTATAACACTAATTTAGTCATAATCATAATAATTGTAAAATTAGTATAGCATTAAAATAGTATAATATTTAGTGATGATTATAAAAATTTTAGTTCAAAAACCACATTAAAATAGTATTTTGAATGTTAGCTTTGACACGGCGTCTGTCAACCACATGGGTATCTCTGTTTTTCATTCATTTATTTTTTACTGTATATGTTTTTGTTTCTACTATTATTATAAAATGATGATTTCGAACATTGGAGAACTAGCAAACGGACCGTCCATGATCTTTTTGTGGACCCACGTTTTAGCTGAAATTACGGAAACTTGGCCGCCGATCTCTGCCGTTGAACTTTTTCACCTTATTATATTTAATGTATATTTATTTTCTCGATGCACAAAAGTAAAATGTTATCCCAGAATCCTATATTCTAACCATCATACTCTATAATTTACTACTATAAAATAGAACAAGAAATAAAGTAATGAACAAATAAAAATAATAATTATTTTACAAATAAAATAATTAATTTTTTATTTGTTCAGCACTTCATTTTTGTAGTAAATTTAAAAGTGGGATTAAAAATGTACTAAAAACTTTTGCAGAATATCGTAGTTAGATAATCGCATGTCAAAAAAAAACTTTATTTTTGCTTTATTTTATATTAAATGTCATTTTATTCTATGTATATAGATTACAAAAAATAATTAATTTTATATATTTTTTATCCATCTTAGAATGTAGTAGGGTCTTTCTAAATCTAAATTGTTTAGCAACACAAAACCTGCTCGCTATTAGACCGCCATCACATAGTTAGATAATATACTTTTAATCTTTTTTTTTTTAGAAAATTTAATGGTGAAAGAATTAGTATTGAGAGGACTACTACGAGACTCTCAAAAACAAAATAAATCAAAGGGGATGTAAAATGTAAAGAAGATATTGTAAATGCCTTTTTTAACATCAAGATAAATGCCTTTTAGAAATATAACATGAAAAATTATGATATTATAAGTTCTTTGTGATTGATTTAAATTTATTTATATTATAAAGAATTAAAAATAGTTTTATTAATATGTTATATACTCCCTCCGTTTTAATATAAATGTCATTTTGATATTTTTCCCGAGATTAAGAATATGATATAATAAACTAATATATCTTTATTTAATACATAATTAATTAAATAAAAATGATTTAAATAAAAATTAAGTTGTTATCTAAAAGGGTAAAATAAATTTAATATATAAAATTGCATTGAAATTGTAGAATGACACTTATTTTGAAACAAAAAAAAAACCTAACATATTTAATATGAAACTGAGGGAGTATAATCTATATTCTAATGATTCACTTTTGAAGCTCCTAAGATTATCCACCTCAGCAAGTTTACGGGCCCCACATGTGTTATTAGGGAAAACAAAAACATATAACACTTTGTAAGATTGAATGTTATCGATGAGTGATGAAATGGTCCAGTGGTGTAAGTTGGTGACTAGAAGTTGGTACCGCGAGTGCGCGGGTTCGAAATGCAGTGTTTGCATGTAATTTTTTTTTTTAATTTGAGCTTTTCGGGATACCTAAAAGCTTAGGGAGATTCAGAATGATTTTTTATTCTGGTTGTTGGGATACAAAATGGCTTAAGGATTTGAAACTTTATGAGACTATCTTAGATACTTTTATAAGAAATGTTATTATGTTCTAACCTCCAATATCATTTCAATTCAGTTATAATAATTAAATAAAATAAAAACATATTTTTTCAATAATAAATATTTACCCCGAACCATTCAGATCGGCCATAAATCTCATATACATCACAATTAAGAAAAAAAGATATATATATATATATATACAACATAATTTCAGAAAGAAAATTACACTAATAAACACATGTCCTTTTTTGTCTTGTCTTCATTAAATTATTTTTTTACATGAAAGCATTAATAACAATAATGCTCAATAAAATCACTAATAAAGGGAATGCTCGATAAAATCACTACGAAGATAAAATATGAAAATATTAACCCATATGAATTTGATATTTATTTTTTTATCAGACTAATTAAGTTGTGTGACTTCTAATGTTTCATTCATCCCCATTATAGATAAGCCAGATAAACAAATGTTAAAAGTAAAACAGCAAAGTCTCAAACACAAAACTACACAATACATCAACAATGTATCTAACCTCCGCGCTTGCGTGGGGACTATGCATCTAGTAGTAATATAGTAAGACACTTTGCTAAGAATTTATACCAATGTTGATGGTGTGAATATCTCATTGAGATGTTTCAAATGGAGAAGCAAGCTGGGCGCCTCGCCACAAGAACACACGACCCGTCTGGTAGCTTAACATTTGTCTTTGCCTCTTTACTTTTTCATGCCATTAAATATTAAGACTTCAGCGGTTTCTGGTCCCAACAGTATAATAATTTTTTTTTACTATATACTCCGTTCATTACAGTTACATTTAATAATTCCTATTTTTTTAAATGTGAGAAAAACGAAATAGAAATTCGGATTCCGAGCCTTGGCCTCTTTTTTTTTGTTGTTGTCAAACGGCCTTGTTTTAATTAAAAAGAAAATAATAGTAATGAACTGAAAACGAGTGCATGGTAGTTGCATAACCAGTGGCAGAAACGTAAATTACCACTCACTAGGTTTATATATTGAACTACTGCCTCCTCTGCTTTTTCCAATTCTAAACCAAACAAATATTCACATAACCATCTCTCTTTTTTTCCTCTTTAAGAAAGGAACAAAGATCAAAGCTTCCAAGTAATCATTTTCTCTCTCTCTCTCACACACACATTACTAGTTTTAGATACTTTCATCTTCAAGAAAGTTTAAGTGCTAAATTCTGATATACTTACCACCTATCTGCAGGTTTCTTTTCAAGATAATTAACAAGATGGGTCTTCTATGCTTCTTGCTTATGGTTATTCTCGGAGTAATGACGACACGTGTGAATGGTTACGGTGGAGGTTGGGTGAACGCACACGCCACATTCTACGGTGGTGGTGATGCCTCCGGCACAATGGGTAAATTACTTCTTCTACAAATTTTTTTTTTTTTGGACAACTCTTCTTCTACAAATTAAAGAGTCATTTTAAAGCTTCATAATTAGTAATTCACTAATTTTTATTTAAAATAATAATAATAATTCACTAATTTTTATCTAAAATAATAATAATTCACTATTTTTATTTTAAATAATAATAATAATTCACTACAATTCTTATATTTTTTTGTTCTTTTTCAGGAGGTGCTTGTGGGTACGGAAACCTCTATAGCCAAGGGTATGGAACCAACACTGCAGCGCTGAGCACGGCTCTGTTCAACAACGGGCTGAGCTGTGGCGCTTGCTTCGAGATAAGATGTCAGAACGACGGAAAATGGTGTCTCCCTGGCTCAATAGTCGTCACAGCGACAAACTTTTGCCCACCAAACAATGCTTTACCGAACAACGCAGGAGGTTGGTGTAACCCTCCTCAGCAGCATTTCGATCTCTCTCAGCCCGTGTTTCAACGCATCGCTCAATACAAAGCTGGCATTGTCCCCGTCGCCTACAGAAGGTAACCACAAAAATAAAACAAGAAACAGAGCTGCCCTGTTTTTTTTTTCTCTGTTATTTGTTTATAGAATCTTAATCTGTTTATTTTTTATTTATTTTTTGTTTTAAAGAGTGCCATGCGTGAGAAGGGGAGGAATAAGGTTTACGATCAATGGACATTCTTACTTCAATCTTGTTCTGATTACTAACGTCGGAGGAGCCGGAGATGTTCACTCTGCGTCGGTTAAAGGTTCAAGAACAGGATGGCAAGCCATGTCAAGAAACTGGGGACAAAACTGGCAGAGTAACTCTTACCTAAATGGACAAGCTCTATCTTTCAAAGTCACTACGAGCGATGGTCGCACCATTGTATCCAACAACGTCGCTTCCCCAGGCTGGTCCTTCGGCCAGACCTTCACCGGCGCACAGATATAGATTTGACTACGAGAAAACTAGTGGTTCGTGTGTGGTGTGTAGTAGTAGTAGTAGCAAGCTTAGAGAATGGGCATGTTCGTAATTTGGTACGTTCTTTTCAGTTTGGGGTTTACCTAAAAAGAAGTGGTGCATCGAGTGCATGTTTTTCCACAAGGCCTTGATGACGTCATCTTTTTGGGACCTTTGTTTCTATTACTGGTAAGGTTTGTGTTTAGGTTTTACTGATGCAGAGGTGGAGTTAAGTACCACCCGCTAGTAGTTAAGTTCCGTTTGTATCCCTTCTTGAAGCAAGAAGGAGAGTTTTATGTTTCAAGAATTGTTAGATTTGTATTTTCTCATGTCATCTATGTTGTAAATTTTTCAATTTTTATTAATATTGTTGGGGATTTGTTTTATATTTTGTGAGTGTTGAATAGCCGGATAGAGTAAAAAAATAGCCATATATTTGTTTACTATGTTCACGTCCGGCATATATCTACTGGAAAATTATAAAGTTATTCACATGGATTGCATGGAAAAAGCAGTTCTAAATATCTTTTCATTTCTCAAGCGAGAAAGTTTGTGAATAGTTGATTTCAATTATAGCCTTCTCTTTAGACAGACGATAATATATATATATATATTATATATATATATATATATATATATATATATATATATATATATACAACGATCAAGATTAGTGTCATATACGGTATACCTTTATACCTAACCTAACAAAGACGCTATTTCCGACCATTTTTTTATAAAAATAATTGTATTGCATTTGCATGTGAAGAGCTATGGTCATTAGATGCTCTTAATTCCTAACGATAAGCTATTTGAAAAACAAAATTCCTAACGATATGCTAATTTATAATTAACAAATATATCTAAATGGTGAAATAGTATTAGTTTAGGGGAAAAGACATTCGTCTCACGTCATGTATATATACACCGAGTTGTAACCGTCCATTCACTTTTCTCCAAATGTAGCAGATTCGTTTAGAACTATAAACTTTATAATGACATCGATAAATGATCTACCCTCTTTTTTTTAATCTAACTAGACTGGGTCATTCAGCAATCTCCGCAATTAATTCGTCACCAGCCTTATGTATGTATAACTGATAACTGGACCGAATCTGCACATAGCTCAGTAAAACATTTGTTGCCTCAAAGTTTTTGAAAGTTGTATAATATATAAAAAAAATTCCAATTATGGAAATTAAAATTAAATCTTTTAGTAAATGATTATATCTTTCAAAATCTCATATCCGGTCATATATACTTTTGTCATGTATATTTGAGTATTGACATGTTTCATTTTGCTAGAAAATATATAATTTCATGTATATGATCATGTGTATTTAATGCATGGAAAAAATCATACAAAATAACTGGTTTGTCTAATCAAGATAGCTAAAGTATAGCCTATAGTATATACTGTATATCACTATTAAAACTGTATTCATTTAATACAGTGAATTTAAAAGACTTTAAACCCTTTTACTTCCATAATTTTTAACGTCTTTGTCTGTTTCAATAACTTGCAGACAAGAAATTCAGCATTTTGCGGAGAAAATCTAACTGAATGAAAAAAAATAAAAATTGCAATAGGAAAAGTGTTTTTTCTTCTAAAATAATAATAATATAACTGGAATGTGAACAACACGTCGTGACAACAAAAAGAAAAAGGAAGAGAATCAGAACTGAGGTGCACGTAGTAACTAACAGTCACGAGTGATACAGAACAACCGAAGCCATGTGCTCGTCTGACATATTGTTTTGTCCTAAAAACTACCCACATGACTCCTACGGTCCCCCATCATTCGTATTGCTAACCAACATATTTAACACCGTCCTTTTCTATATATATGGGCCTTTTAGCCCATTGTAATCTAGCAGACTAGAACTAGAACAATCTCATTTTCAGCTGCAGTATTTTAAGTTGAGCCTCAAATAAAAATCGGCACAACTTTTTCAGTTCTTCAAAAACTCTAATTAAACAGTAATACAATTTATTAAAAATACATTAATATAAATTGTGAAAGACTTCAGTTAGTTTTTTTTTCAGTAATGATGGCATAAACTTTGCTATAATCTCGCCCCCTAGATACTAAACCTGACGGCTTAAACTCAAACTAGATTTTGACCCGCGCTTCAAAAGCGCGGGTTTTTGTTAGATTATAAACAAATTTTGATATGATTTAGTATTTTAGAAATGATGTACATTATTAGGCTACAAATCTTAATATAGAAAATAGATTTTTTTGAAAAATTATGTAATTTATAAATTAGTTTATTTGAGATTTTATATGTAAGTTTTTAATGTAACTCTCTCTAGGTCTTGACATTTTATCCGGATCGAAAAACACGACCAAACCGACCCGAAAATATAGGTTCGGCTAGGATCCATGATAAAGTACTTACTGGCTATCTTTAAAGACCCGCAGGAA